GGGCTCAGCTCCCCGCTGCGGGAGGAGGACGTGGGGAGTAACGGGGGAGCGGTGGCAGCGCGGCCGCTTCCTCTTCGCCTCCGAGCGTGCTCGGAGTTAAAGCGAACGGGGATAAGCTACGGGTTATTAGTCTCCGGGCAGCTGCTTGCAGCGGGGAACCGGTGCTGCCGGCTGTTAACGTTTCCAGCCCCTCGTCACGGGACGCGCGTGTTCGGTCGGGAATGGATGCCCGTTTCGGCGCCTGGCTGTCAGAGTTTGCGGGGGGTTTGCCGGTACTCCGTTCTACAGCGCTGCACGGCTCTCCGTTCTCTTTCTGCCTGTCCAGTGAGGGCCTGTTCTCTCGTAAGATACTACCAATAGATAAACTGCTGCGCTAATTCTTCTGCAAGCATGACTAAAATCCTTTGCAGTTTCTTCTTCCTGACGGTCACACCTCCCAAACCCAGCGGAGGGTCAGAGGCGTACGCCTGGTATGTCTACACCAGGCTGCGCCGCGCAGCCCGTTGTGTTTGTTTGAGTAGCAAGGCCGCCTGTATCTATTTCAGCAGGGTGTTCTGCCCACGATAACGCTCTTTTCCTCGTCAGGTTTGATTAGCCCCAAGCGAATTGCTCTACGTACATGGCTAAACCACTTCTGCTGCTGGAGGTAGCTCGGATGTCTCTGCACAGAGCTGCGTTGCATCATCACCCATAATAAAGATTTTACAAGTCAAATGCAGCTCGTTCTTATACCTAAATGGCAGACGAGATGGTGGCACCGGTTTGTGTGAGTACAGAATTTGACTCTCTAGTTGAAATATAGCTGAGAGAATTGCAAGTGACTGTTCGGTCGTATTCGAGTAGAGGTTACCTTCCCATAGGGCATTTCGTTTCTGACATTAGCAGAAAATAAAGTGAGAGTGAATTTTCTCATTAAACACCGCGGCAGCTGATACAACTGGATGGCATCCGTTGGCGCTGCAGTGCTACATTTACAGTCGCCTTTCTGATAGCTGCATTTCAAACCCGAAATTAGTTTGACAGCAGCGATGCAGGGGATGAGACTCCTCTTCCTGCCCAAACCTCAGGCTTTCTTTATGGCCCGTCGTGTCTGCAGTTTGCTTCCGAGCCGCGGGTGACCCCGGCGGTCCGCTCCTGCCGCTCAGCTCTCGGTTTGCGGAACGAGGAAAAGGGCACCTCCAGGGCAGATCCTCGCCGGGTTAGCCCTGACGGGCCTGCTCACAGCGAGAATTTTGGCGTTGCTTCTGTCTAAAAAAAAAAAAAAAACCAACCCCAAAACCAAACAACCCAAAACCAAACAAGCCAAAACCCCACCCGGAGCCGGGAAGACGGACTCCGGGGGCTGACCGGGTGCCTTGTGCTTGGGTGGGGGCGAGAGCTAGAGCCGGCTGGCTCTGCAGCGCGGGCCCACCTCCCAGCCGGGTGCTGGCAGCCCCGTGCCCCGCTCCCCTGGGGCTTGTTTTCCGGGCGTGCCATACCTGCCGCCCACCCGGCGGGTACGACCGGCGGGGGACCGGACGCG